TCAGCCTGCCACATGGTGGAGAGGCAGCCATATGGCTGGGAGGCGGGGGAGCCTCAGACGAAGCATAAGGAACTCCAGGGTGCATGAGGAAGCATGCTTAGAACACAGGGAGAAAGAGGAAGAGGGAAGATGAGGCTTTTCTGAGTAATTCAGGAAAGTGGACAGGTTCATGGAGCCCTATAGTTGTGGTCCCAGTACACTGTGGCCCTGGGGCAGGAATTCTGGGAGAAAAGTATATTATCTCATTAAAGCCAAATTATTAATCCTTTAGTATGGCTTGAGGTGAACCTGCCTTCCTAAGAGTGGGACCATCTTCCTGAAGGGCAGTTAGTTCATTAGCCAGGTCCTGGACCTTGCCCACCTGGACTCTTAGGTCTCTACCCAGGCCAGAGATTCATCTCTAGAAGAGATGCTTTTCTCTTTTTTTTTTTTTTTTTTTTTTTTTTTTGGTTTTTTCGAGACAGGGTTTCTCTGTGTAGCTTTGCGCCTCTCCTGGAACTCACTTGGTAGCCCAGGCTGGCCTCGAACTCACAGAGATCCGCCTGGCTCTGCCTCCCGAGTGCTGGGAGTAAAGGCGTGCGCCACCACCGCCCGGCAAGAGATGCTTTTCTCTTAATGGACCTTTACTGCTGGCTTATCAGCGCCTGTGCTAGGCAGAGTTGTGATGCCCCAGGGAGTGCCATGTCTGTATCTATGGGGTCTGTGACTATGCCACACTACCCAGCAAGGCACAGGGAGGAGGTCAATGGGGCTGAGGTTCAGGTGGGAGGGTAACTTACATTTCTGACCGAGCCCAGTGTAATCATGGGAGAAGAGTGATGGAGAAGACACACCCAGAGAGATAGGAAGGAATGAAAGGAAGCAGGAGCAACCCATGAGAGATTCGGGTGTCCCTTAGACGCTGGAGCCGGCTAAGAAACAGATTTCCCCCAGTCTCCAATGAGAGAAGACAGCCTTGCTAATCCATAACTTGGTTTTAGCCTGGTGAGACCCAGTAGGATTTCTGGCCACCTGACGTGCAAGATCACTTCATGTTTTAAGCCTCTAAATCTGAGGCAGTTTGTTGCAGCAGCAGTAGGAAGCACATTGGACAGAAATGGAGCTATGTGACCATTGACTGCTTCCTGCAACGCTACTGAAGAAATTCATGGAAACACTTAGACATGGGTTAGCGCAGGCCAGGGAGCTGCGAGAGGGGGTTCTGCATGGAGGAGAAAGAGTTGAACTCTGCAGCCCCTTCATCCTTAGGGCAACTGAGTGGGTCTCTCAGAAGGGTTGCCTCCTTGGGCTGCCCATCCCTCCCCTTTTCAGAACCCACTCCAGAGTCAGCCTCTTCCAGCTAGCTCAGGGTACAAGATGTATTTCACTGGTATGCAGCGAGTGTGGGTTTTCCTTCACTGTTTCTTGTATTTTTCTATGTATGTGCTCGCAGAAAACACCCTGTGGTTATATTAAAAACTGGCAGGAATAGTTTGAACCCCCAAGAGCAGCATAATTTTTCTCCCTTATTTTTTTGTTGTCAGAATTCTGTGAGTTAGGTGTCTGTTTTTCAAAGATTTGTTTATTTGATGTGTATGGATGTTTTGTCTGCCTGTACATCTATCTGTACACCAGAAGAGGTCATCTGATCCCATGTGACTACAGTTATAGATGGTTATGAGCCACTATGTGGGTGCTGGAAATTGCACTCAGGACTTCTGAAAGGGCAGTCAGTGCTCTTAACCACTGAGCCATCACTCCAGCCCAAGTTAGATGTTTTTACACCTGAGTCTTTGGTTGTGGGCAAGGCAGCAGGGTGGGTAGTGGGTTTCTGTGAGCCGCAGACTAATTACAGCTGTCTCCTTTGTTGCTATGACACGTGCATTCTTATGTTTTCCTTGCTCTTGAGGAGTTCGTTGACTAAGTTTCTTTCAGTGATTTATTTTTTTATTTTATGTGCATTGGTGTTTTGCCTGCATGTGTGTCTGTGTGAGGGTGTCAGGTCCCCTGGAACTAGAACTGCTGAGAGGTGTGAGCTGCCATGTGGGTGCTGGGACTTGAACCCAGGTCCTCTGAGAGACCAGCCAGTACCCTTAACCACTAAGCCATCTCTCCAGTCCCCCTAAGTTTCTTTCAAGAATAATTCTAATGCCATCAGCTGACGGGTAATTAATTCTCTTTCACATCAGTGCCATCTCCTAGACTATCTCTTAAGAACATCTGTGATATAGTTCATGACTGCATGATTATTTTTCACATGTAGGGATAGCTTTTGTAAAGCAGTTGTGATATTGCCAAATGGGTTATTTGCCATTCTCTGGGGAAATCTTTTAAAATCCAAACTCCGAAATTTGCATCTTCAATTTGAAGTTCTCTCAGAATTTTTGTTTTGTTTTTTTGGTTTTTCAAAACAAGAGTTTCTCTGTGTAGCCCTGGCTGTCCTGGAACTTGCTCTGTAGACAAGGCTACCCTCAAACTCACAGAGAACCACCTGCCTCTACCTCTTGAGTGCTGGGATTAAAAGTGTGCACCACCGTTGCCTGACTTGTTCTCTCAGAGTGTAAGGGAAGAAGAAACGAGGGTGGTGCAGAACCAGCTACTAAAGTAACAAGGGTGACTAAGCAGTGAGGAATCATGTGGCTGAATGTCACAGATAAAATGCCGGAAGACCAAGCAAAGCGCTGCAGTGAGCATCTTGTAAGGAGGCTGCTCTTAAGTTTGTTTGGTTTGAGACAGCATCACATACATCTCAGACTGGCCTCAAATGTACTATGTAACTGAAGATGACCTTGAACATCTGATTCTTCTGTCTCCACCTTCTGAGTGCCCAAGTTTTGAGGTATATGCTTGGTGAGAGCATTCTACCAACTGACCTTCAGCCCCAGCACCTTGAAGTTTTCTTTTCTTATCTTTCTATCATCTGTCTATCTCCATCCATCCATCCATCCATCCATCCATCCATCCATCCATCCATCCATCCATTTTTCTGGGTGTTTTGCTGCATCCAGTCATGTTGTGGAATCTGTCTGTGTACTGCATGAGTACCTGGTACTGAAGGAGGTCAGAAGAGGGCATCAGATCCCTTGGAACTGGAATTACAGTCAGTTGTAAACTACGATGTCAGTGCTGAGAATCAAACCCAGCTCCTCGGGAAAAGCAGCAAGAGCTTTTAACCTTTAAAGGCTGAGCCATCCCTCCAGACCTTTAAGAACTTTCTTTTTTGATATTGAGTCTCATATAGCTCTTACTGGCCTTGAATTGACCAAGTCTCATGTAGACCAAGCTGGCCTCAAATTTGCTGCAGTCCTCCTGCCTCAGTCCCCAGAATGAAATTGCTGGGCTGTGCCACCATACCTGACCAATAACTTAAGGGTAAGTATAATGATAGATCATCTACTCCAAATGGAAGCTCGTCAGCAGTATCTGGATAGTCCTAAGACACAGCAATGACCCAGGGCAAAGTAGAAATGAACATGATCTGGTGCAGGCTTAAGCTAAGAGGGTTGCTTGTCTGTGGGGAATTGACAGACAATGGCAGGAACCATTCATTTAAAAAAGTCTTCATTATTACCATGTGCACATAGTTCTAAAGTAATTTTACTGGTGAAATACCCCTCCAAATTGTGTGCCTAAATAATTAAGGAAATGATAAATTGGAGGTTTCTTTTACATACATAGCACATGCATGCTTTAAAATAGCACTCATAGCCTGAGTTATTAGCCTTTAGTAATACGCACAGATGCATTAGAGGTCCTTTGCTGCAGTTGTTTGTAACAGCTGTCTGAGCCTGCTGCAGCTGCAACTTCAGCTTGAGCAGCCAGTGCCCCCACGGACAGCCTTAACCGTTGGTTTCCTTTAATGGATTTGTAAATGAGTGACAGGGATGGGGAGAATGAAGAGGCCGACTCAGCCACTACCATTCTCTCTTTAGAGTTTGAAATTTTAAATAGAGCTGAAATAGAGTCAGCACTGGATAAAGAAAGAGAACACCTACTTCACTTGTGGAATCTAGATTTGCGACCAACATGGGTGGCAAACTTCCCTTCAGCTTGTAGGGTTGGAAGTGTGAACATTGAATGCTGTCGTTATCAGCTTTGCTGATGTCAGTCCGTAACTGTCATTTTAACGGTGGTTAATATGTTCAGAAGATGAGCTGGAGAGATGGCTAAGAGCACTGACTGCTCTTCCAGAGGTCCTTAGTTCAATTCCCAGCAACCATATGGTGGCTCACAACCACTTGTAATGAGATCTGGTGCCTCTTCTGGCCTGCAGGGATACATGCAGGCAGAATACTGTATACATAACAAATAAATAAAACTTAAAAAAAAAGATATGTTCAGAAGATCTATGTGTATTGATTGACAAGTTACCGTGCGTGTTGTAAGTGACTTGAGTAGCTGTGATTCAGCATCTTTGTAGGGTGGTCATTAATAGGAAGCTTTCTTCTTTTGATTCGGTGTCATCTGGAGGGGCCTGGTTTTGTTTTGTTTTTTTTGTTTTTTTTTTTTGTTTGTTTGTTTGTTTGGTTGGTTTTGTTTTTTAAGTCTCTCACAAGATTGGCGAAGTACACAGTCAGTTCATGCCCTGCTTTTCTGTACATTTTAGAAACTTACAGAATTTTCATTACAAGGGTACAGTGCTGTTCCAATACTAAATACAAGGGAGTCAGGCAGAATGCATGCTGGTAGCATGTCCTTACAAGGGACAAGTTCCCAGATGTGTACAGATGCAGGGCTCAGTTGGTGGAGTGCTTACCTAGCATGCATGAGACCCTGGCTGGGTTTAACACCTGGCACCTGGGAACTGAGTATGGTGGCACATTCCTGTAAGCACTTAGGAGGTGGAGACTGGCTATGTAGCAAGTTCCGGCCCCACCTGGGAAGCAAGTGGCTTCCCGCCAAGGTGGTGTCTGTAGAGAGGTCTCTCTTCCCCGCTGCATAGCTGCTCGATGGTTTACTCTGTCCTTTGTCACCATGATCCTAGGAGGAGAGAATTAACCTGCCCCACTTCCTTCCAACAGGCGGACTTAAACTGTAATATCCAAGATGACGCCGGGGCTTTTTACGGTGTGAGCAGTCAGTACGAGAGTTCTGAAAACATGACGGTTACCTGTTCCACCAAAGTGTGCTCCTTTGGGAAACAAGTAGTAGAAAAAGTAGAGGTAAGTTGACCTCTAGATGAGAAAGTCCTCTGGGAGCTGTTGCCTTCCTTTAAACATCTGGTTGGCAGCGGGGTGGAGGGCGGTGTTTTTTCTGGATGTCTTTCTCTTCCACTCACACCTTTTCCCTGATAGATCCGTAAAGGTCAAAAGGATTGGGTGGCTCCTGAAAGCAAACAGGATGCTCTGTGCTAGCCTTCTCTGTGAGGGAAGTCTTGCCCAGCCGGCCTGTACCGGTCTTCTGGGTGAGAGGCCCCCTGGGGGTTCTAGAAGGGCCTCTGGGTCAGGATGCTTCCCTGCTTCTAGCTGCAGGCATTGTGGGCAGTGGTGAAGGTGGGTGCAGCTGCGTGGTGCCCCAACTCTAAAACCTGACACTTGGAGTTGGAAATTGTTGCTTTTGCTACTTTTACTTTTTTAAAATTTTTATTGTTCTTAGTTTAAATTTCAGTGGGAAATGTTGACCCATGCCTGTAATCGCAGCACTCGGGAAGCTGAGGCATGAGACTCCCGAGTTCCAGGCCAGCCTGGGGTACTCACCAGAGTCCCTGTCTCAAAATGAACACAAAAACTCAAGCATTTCATACAGGCATTAGGAAATATCTACATTCAACTTGCATATTTCGTGCCTCCCCTTCTTTCACAGACACGTTTGTCTTATCAGAGTCTTCTGCCTTCCCCACCACCGGAAGAGTCAGACTTTATTTGCAGCCGTTCTGGACTCCAGGGCCAGGACCTAACCAGCCTGTGGCAAGGCTCCAACCCAGCTAGAGGCTGCCTGGCTGGAGAGGGAAGGTTTTAAGGATTTGGGCAGAGCCCTAAGGGTGTGGGCTGCCCCAGAGCCTCCTGAGCACAGCTCGTGCTGTGTGAGGCAGACGGTAAAGAGGCAGGAAAGGATACGGTTGGTCGAGTTGATGGTGAATTTAATAGAGGTCATGAGCTTTCTTGAAATGGCTTCAGTGGGACTCCAGTAAGAGGTTTTAAATGGAATTTAGTAACTGTGTATTAAAGCTTAAAGAGGAGGGGAAGCCAGAGGTCACACTCTCTATGTTTGCCAGCAGCAGTGACCAGAAGGTATGTTTTCAAGGGACAAATGGGGATAATTGGAGATGGAAGAGTGGTCTTGAGAGACAGGAAATATCAGTTAGGAGCCCTGAGCACTAGAGATAATTAAAACTGGAGTGGGAGAGGAACTGAATGCTCTGACAGAGAAGCAGGAACACGAAATTAGGATTAGATTTGGGGGGTGGGTATCACCCAGCAAGATGCCCAGCAGGTAAGGCGCTTGCCGCCAAGCCTAAGGACCTGAGTTCAATTCCTGACACCCATATGGCAGAAGGAGAAAACTAACTCCTGTAGTTGTCCTTTGACCTCCATGTGCATGCCAAATACATACATACATACATACATCAAACAGACAAAATAAATGTGAAAATAGTTATACTTGTTAATATTAATCTTTTTTCCAACTGAAACTGTCTCTGTAACATTCCCGAATATCCTAGGAGCTTCTGGGTCTTCTTTCACCCCCTGTGTCTCTGTCCTACCCAGTACCCTGTGGCCTAGTGACCTTGTAACTAGGCCCTAGGGTCAGGTGAGACAAGTCCATCTGACTGCTCTTTTTCCGGCTTTGCTAAACTAGGAACCAGCCTTCCTATTTCCAAATAATGTGCACTTTATTTAGTGTAACGAAAGAAAGTTTGGGCACTATAATTACATTTAAAATGATATGTTATTAATATTAAATCTGTTTGCATTTCTGTCTCATTGTAGGTATTCTAATAAGGTTTTATGATTTTTATCATACTGGTTTGTTTCTTGTTAAATTCTGAATATTTTATGATTTGTGTCAGTTTCATGTTTCTAGATTCTGGTTTCTAGACCAGACAGGCTTTGGGTTTTGGAGCCTGATTTAAAGATCTGTATCAAGGATCTGTCTTCAGAGCTATGCTTGGTGGTACATGGTTCAAGGCCAGCCTGATCTACATGTCTAGTTCCAGGCCAGCCCTGGCTACATACCTGTCTCAAAAGAAGACCTATTGCTGGGCGGTGGTGGCACACACCTTTAATTCCAGCACTTGGGAGGCAGAGGCAGGTAGATCTCTGTGAGTTCAAGGCCAGCCTGGTCTACAGAATGAGTTCCGGGACAGCCAGGGCTACACAGAGAAACCCTGTCTTGGTGGGAGGATCTGTTTTCAGAGTATCCATTGCACCAGATTGTCCTGTTCAACCCCGTGGTTCCTCCCTTAGGGTCTTGAATTCTCTGTGGATTCGGGCCTAGTGGCCACTTCTTGCAGTCTCCTTGTACCATTTTTGGTTCGGTGCTAACAGTTTTGTTTTGGGGCTTTAGAATCATGTCCTCTAAGTTTGTGTTACTTTGCCTCTTCCCTAGAGTTGTGTGAATACAATGTGTGTGTTGCCACACACATACTTTTTGCTGAAAAAAGAATCTATCAAATCCTTTAAAGGTTACCCTTTGCCTCATTTTTTTTTTTTAAACTTCCAGAAAAATAATAGATGCTGTGTATAGCAGTAAAGGTAGGGTTTGTTTTTAATTAGGTAATCTACACAAAGAACAAAGCATGTTAACTGATGATTCATGTTGAAAAGTGCATGCTTTCAGAAGCAGCCATCCTCTGTGTTCTGAAATATAAAAAAATTACTCAAACCTCTTTTCCCTTGCAGACGGAGTATGCAAGGTTCGAGAATGGCCGATTTGTGTACCGAATAAACCGCTCACCAATGTGTGAATATATGATCAACTTCATCCATAAGCTCAAACACTTACCAGAGAAATATATGATGAACAGTGTTCTGGAAAACTTCACCATTTTATTGGTAATGTTTGTCTCTCTCCTGGTTTGGCATTGACAGAGTCTGTCCTGAGGCGTGTTGAGGACAATGAGGAAGGTGGGTGGGGAGGTAGCAAGGTTTTCAGAAAGAAAACTTGGATATCTGGTGGTCAGGCAGCAACTGAATTACATGACCCAGCCAACAAACATGGGCTGTAGTGGGGCTTGGATTGAAAGACAGGTCCAGGTGCGACCTGAATTCAGAACCAAGACAACAGGAAATGATGGCCCGGGTCCTTCGGCACCATGGCTGCAGAGTTGAGAGAAGTCCCAAAGACTGTTTCAAAGCTCCAATGCCTTGATTTTGGATCTGTTCCAGAATCCGAGACTCTTGTCCTCAAAACAGGTTCATAAAGCATTTTGTTAATAGGTTTTATAAGGCTTTTTTAAAAAGAAAATAATTCTTGATTAAACTGGAAGACCAGAATGCCAAAACAAAACTCAGTGAGAACAGGTTTCCTGGGGGGCTGAGAAGGCCCTCTGTGATCAGACAGTACTCTGAATGCCTGCCACATGGTTCTGTTACCAGAATGGCGAGCTTGCAGGTTTACCTGGAGAATGCCTTACCTGACGTGTTGGTCCCACCGGGACGTGAGTCTCAGTCAGATTGATCCTGTTTTGTTTGGTTTGAAAGGCTCTTTCCATTTGTTCCTTCCTATTTAAAAACAAACTGATTTAGACTTTATGAGGTGGTGCATGCCCCCTGTAATCTCCATACTTGGGAGGCTGAGGCAGGGGGATCAGCAGGTTGAAGGCAGACAGACATAATGAGACCCTGTTTTCAAACAAGCCAGTGAGATGGCTCAGGTAAAGGTGCTTGCCATGCTGACCTAGCAACCTACGTAGTCATGGCATAGCCAGGATGAGGAGTCCATGCCATCAGGGGCTCAGAGCTTAGACAGAGGGCCGGCATGCATGGATGGGATCTTTCCTACAAGCTTGGCTTACTCTAGAGAGAGAGACTCTTAGTGGAGTCTCAGCTGTGCCTGTGTGCTCCTGAAGCTTAGAAACTGGAAGGCTGAGGAAATCCAGAACTCCTGTCTCTAATGTCAGCAGTAGCCTTTTGGTGGAAGACGAGGTTACAGAGTGTGTGATGGCGGGGAGCAGGTGTCTGTCTCAAACTGTGCTCTGCTGCAGTCCACGTGTGTGGGAACTGGGGAGCTGACTCAGTCAGTACCACACAAGTGTGAGGACTCAGCACTGTTTCTCTGCACCACAAGAAGCCAGGCCTCATGGTACTGCCTGGGGAGGCCAGGACAGCTCAATCCCCGGAGGCCATCGGCCAGCCTGGCCTAATCAGTGAGCTCCGTATTTAGATAGAGATCATATCTCCAAAAGAAAAGAAGATAAAGAGGAAGAGTGATCAAGGAGAACATGCAGCATCAAACTCTGGCCTAAGTAGACACAGAAACGAGTGCAGGGCTCAGTACTCGGGAGCAGGCGGGAGTGTGGTGTTCTTTCTAGACTTCGCAAACACCTCGATGACTTGAAGTCTTAAGTGGGTGGCCACCCATCTCTCTTAGCAGGAGTTTCAACTCCAGCTCTGTCTGTGACTGCACATTGAAGATGATGATAGCCCCAGTCCCAACTCTGCCTCAGAGAGCCTGGCTGAATTGAATGTGGCCCTGAGATGTCAAAGCCCCTAATTCTCACAGAGCCAGGTGCCTGTCAGCAACATGCCTCTGGATATATAACTTCCACCAGCAGAGCTATCCTGGGACCTCACTGGGTTTGGTTAAAAATGTCATTACAGCCAGTCATACTGGCACATGTGTGTAATCCCTGTACTTGGCAAGTGGAAGCAGGAGGATCAGGAGTTCAGGGCCAACCTAGGCTATAGGAAACCCTCTCAAAACAAGTGTCATTAAGAGGTAAACAAAATATTTTGATATAAGCAATTAATAATTGCCAAGAGTTCCAGGAAAGGCACAAAGCTACACAGAGAAAACCCTGTCTCGGAAAAAAAAAAATTGCCAAAAAACATTTGTTAGAAATAATATCATGGGGCTGGAGAGGTGGCTCAGTGGTTAAGAGTACTGGTTGTTCTTCCAGAGGACCCGAGTTCAATTCCCAGCACCCACATGGCAGTTCATAACTGTCTGTAGCTCCAGTTCCAGGGTACCCGACACCCTCACACAGACATACATGCAGGCAAAACACCAATACACATGTAAAAAAAAAAAAGAAAAGAAAGAATGAAAGAATATTATAGCTTTAGAAAACCACAGACTTCAGGACTACAAAACATAAACCATCTAGTTGATGGACAGGAGAAATTACACTATCTGACCAATTTAAAGTCTTGCAAACTGGTAGAGTAGGCTCTCTGGTTGCATCCTTTCGCCTCAGTAATTGAGCTGAGCACATAGAGGCAGTAATAGCCCAAGCAGAGCTGAGAAAGACAAAGGTGACCCATGAGCCGAGTGTACCTGTTGTCTTCTGAGGTTGCTTACTTTATTTTCCCTCTGCTTCTCAATCTCTTTGATACCAAGTTTACAGAGGTTGGACCTCGTGCCGTAGGCCTGCAATCCCAGATTCTCAGGAAGCCAAGGCAGGAGAATTGCACATTCAAGGTCTGCCTGGGCCCACAGAGAGTTCAAGGCCAGCATAGGCAAGTTAGTGAGACCCTGTCTCAGATTAAATAGTGGAAAGATGGCACTAGAGAGCTGGCTTGGCAGTTAAGAGCACTTGCTCTTACAGAGGACCCAGGTTCAGTTTCTGGCCTCTGAGGGCACTAGGGGCATGTTACACATATATACATGCAGGCAAACACTCACACATATAAAGTAAAATCAAATAAAATATTTTAAAGCAAAATGAAAAGAGACCTGGGGACACACAGTGGTAGAGAACTTAGCTACCGTACACGAGGCTCTGGGTTTTCAATCTTCGCTATAGACAGAGTGAATTTATAAGAATATGGGAGTGTCTAAGTCATTTCTAGCATTATGCTGGATACAAAGACCCTTTGCAAATGCAATTATAAAGTTCTTACCATGAACTACAGTATCATTTTTGTGGTGAAGGAATCATTATGACGCACTCAAGGTCATGGTGATTGACAGACTATAGTCATGAAATCAGAAAACTTGAGCTGAAGGCCCTCTGCTTTATGTGCCTAGCCAAGCCATCTAAAGTCTCCAGACCTGCATGGCTGTCTCCATTCATAAAGGGATCACTCAAATCTGTATTCTCCACCTCAAGGTGACCATAAGATCCTTTAAATTCCCTCAGCTACACCATGGGGATAGCATTGACTGCTAGGAAGTGATTTAACAGCCATGCGCTGTGCTGTGATGACTTGCCTGTTGAGTCAAAGAAGCAAGTGAGTAGATTATGATAGAGTCATATAAATTGTTAAGTATTTCTGAACTAAGCACTACAGAAGTCCAGAGAGATGTGGGGGTGGGGTTCTCAGGGATGGTAAAGAGGATGTTTTAAGTTGAAAAACAAGTTGGACATTTTTCACATTTACCAAGCAAATAAGACTTTACCTAAGTGCATATTTGGGTGTCTGGTGCTAGGAATATTGTGATGAACTGAATGAGTGGAGCAGCCATCTCAAGGGCAGATGAGGGAGGCAGGCATTCATCCAGCAAATGAATGGAAAATAAAATGATCACCAGTGTCCGGCAAAGAGGGTCCTTGTGCTGAGATGGGATTATGTAGCTCATAGGTGGGGAAGACCTGCAGGTGGGTTAACAGCTTTGAACTGAGTAGTGTAGAGCAGACAGCGCCTCAGTCTCCTCTGTCATGGGGAAGGTAGCACCCAGTCACAGAGTTGTGAGGTGGGATGCGACCCTGTCTGGGCCAGGTATCTCATACCATGGTAGACGCATAGTGAGCACACAGCATTGGTGGTTGTTGGGAGTTTTGGTCACTCATCAAATGCTTGATCATGGCGTACCATGCCTGAGCTGGTTAACTAGAAGACGTGGGCTAGTTCTTCATAGTCCACAGATGAGCTGGATATTGAAAACAACCAATCTGTATGAATCACATAGCTCCATGGAGAAAATCAGAGGTGAGGCTTTATTTTTTTCAATCAGGGCCCCTGAGCTTGGGTGCTTGAAAGCAAGGGAAACTTAAATGGGTGAAGCAGACCGTTGCCAAGGGGAAATTAGGCCCTTGACAAGGTAGATAAGGCACTCAAGTTCAAAATGTTTTTGAACATGAAAGTCACAGAAAACCATCGAAGCGTTGTGAAGTTGTAAATTTGATCGGATTGGCCTTCTGAATGTTCCTTCTGAGGTGGCATGGAGGACTGGGGCCAGCATGAGGAAGAGAGCCAGAGCTCAGATCTGAAAGAGGCTAATCATGGGTGTGAGGGAAAGCACCCAGGGGGAATGGATGAGCAGTCCCTAACACATTGTGAGAGGTACAGCCTGTGTCAGCAGAAAGCAGCATTTTCAACAGGATTCTGTCTGTACCACTGTCTTTTATACAGCAAATACTTCTGCTGCATCCAGGTACTGCTGGCTAATGTGTCCGTAAAGTTAACTCTGTAGTTGGCTGTTGGGAAGTAGAATTGAGCTCAAGTTAAATATAAGATGGGAAAATGAGATTTTAAATGTTTTTAACAGAAATAAATAACTATAGTGAATATAATAGTTAGCTTGACTTAACCATCCCATGATGTATCATAACATTACTATAATATATACAATTATTTGTCAATTCAGATTAAGATAAAAAATACTAAAATAGGTGAAAGTCACCTAAAACATGTGAATGTCTTGTGAGAGAGGATTATTGATGATAAACAAATTAATCCCAAACACAGAAACCACACCAGTTCTTACAGGTGACCTGTTGGTTGCAGGTAATGGGTCAGACTATCTCTAGGATCTTCCTTGATTATGGTACTGGGCTCAGATGGGGTTCCAGTGGGATTTGTAATCTTCTGAATGTGTTGGAGGATACAGAGTGAGGCTGAACGGGTCTCTGATCCACCCGTCACCTTAAGACGGCTCCTCTCCCATCAAATCATACTCTGGGCAAATAGACCATGCTCTCATTTATGTGGGGTGATGATATACATGCCTTTTTTTTTTTTTAAACAGGTGGTAACAAACAGGGATACACAAGAAACGCTCCTCTGCATGGCCTGTGTATTTGAAGTTTCAAATAGTGAACATGGAGCACAGCATCATATCTACAGGCTTGTAAAGGACTGAACCTGGTTATTTATATATATAGATATCTGTATATACACACACATATGTGCACACACACACTCTCTCCATTATCGAACGACTGACTGTAAACCTCACCACAGGTGATGCCCTGGCCCCCCAGGTCACACCCTGACTTTTCTAAATCCTGTTTGAGTGAACTTATTATTTTTTTCATGTGTTCATGCTATCATTGTAGCTGTGAAGTTGTGATGCAGTTTTTTGTGTATTCCTCAGATCTGCAACCCACAATTCCTTGGGGAAGGTGAATCTTACCAGCCTAAACCTCTCTCTCTGCAGACCTGTTTCCTGTTGTGGTAGAAAATAATGAGACAGAGGATTGGCCACGGAGCATTGATTGCCTTTATACAAATGTATTTAGTTCTTTTTGTTGTTGTTTTTCCAACATAAAATTCTTGTTTTAAGATACAAGTAAAATTAATCTTTAAATGTAAATTAGTACAAGAAAACTAAGATTCTTCAGACTTATCTTTGTAACTAATTAGGGTGGAAGTTATGGAAGAATGTAATTCACTAAATTATTTTTTAAATGAAATCTTTCTTTCTTTTTAAAACCAAATGTTAAACTATAGCCTTAAGAAATACTTGGTAGAAGTATCCTAATGAGACAAATTTTGTACCTTTCCCTCCCTCAAGGTTAAAACTAATATCCTAATTCATTAAACTCTTGAAACAGGTGTTGCAAAGGAAGAAAATGTCACCCCTTATCCTTAACATATATAGTATATTTAAAAATGTAAAATTGTATTGTACTAATGTGATAATTGATTATTTAATGAAAAGGAAAAGATGGCTCTTTTTGCAATAAGTAGATAATACTGAAACAAATCTAAGCTTACAATGTTATCGTCTTGTGTGTGCAGTTGCATTTTATATGGTCAACCAAAATTTTCTATGGAGAAGAGTTCACATTTGAACCACTGAAATTTAATAACAAAATTTAAAAATTGGCACGAATACTGCACTGTGAGTTGCAAAGGATGCAGAATCCTGTGGCTGGGAGAAAACTGTCATCATCTGAACAAGTGCGAGGCTCATCAGGCTTGGTGTCTGCTCCCCAGAATGTCACTGTCACAAGCCTCCTCACCAGCCTGTGGGTAGTGTGTTGTTGCTGGTAACCCCCCATGCATGGAAGCATCTGTCCTGATAGCTCTGTGTTCATGCGCATGTGGATATTCAGTTCTTTGAACTCCTGCCTCCCGTAGTTTGCTGGTTACTTACCACCTTTCTCTTGGTCTGCATTATAAACATGGGTAGATTTTCCCTAAGGGCATCTCTTGACATCTCTTCATAAGCCGCAGGGGCACTTTATGTGCTCCCCCGCCCCCCTGCCCCTCTCTTTTCCCTCCACCCCTCTCTTGATCTTTTCAAGCAGAAGCCCTCATTCAGGAAGTTCTGTTTCCAAGAGAGATTTCACCTCTCTGATCTGAATATTCCAAAGCATTGCCCAGCAGAGTTGGCTTAAGATGGCCGGTCTGGGGTTACTTCCCTAAGTGCTTTCTCACTGGGGAAGCAAGAAAGGTTGCCCCTCTACTTCCCAGGGATGGTAAGAGGAAAGTAAGAGTTTCCTTACACACATGTGCACATGTGTGCACACACATGCATGCGCACACAGGAATATGTGAACATAATAGAACATGACAAAATTTTTAAGTTAAGAAGCATGGCAATTTTTTTTTTATACCAAGGCTATCAAGTAAACTCCTACTTCTGCTGTTTCCAGGTGACACACACCCCTTCTTTGCCCCAACATCTGCTCTGCCTGTGCTTTTATTATATTCAGCAACTTGTGGTCTTTAGTGGTTGGGCATGGCTGGCTAAAAGAACCAAACTGGATTGACTCTGTCTCCTCCCAGCTGCATCCCTGGTCCCTGGGAAGACCTGAGGAGAATGTGCAAGACTTTGTCATTAGCAATGTGCCTCCTTTACGTAGGCCAGCGGGGCATTGTTTCTCTTCAGGAGAACTGCCTTGGTTCCCTGATTCTAAGCCAGCCCTCAAAGGAATGACTACCCTGGGTTTCTCCTCTTCTGTCTGTCTTCAGATCAGATGTTTAAGGCTCTGTCCTGGGGATACCATTAGTTAATTTTTTAGGGATGTTTCTTTAGCTTCGATTTCCTACATCCTTCCTCTAGAGGAATGCCCTACTGTCCTGAGACCAGGACTATATGAATGGGTACAAATGATCTCCTGTGGCTACAGGCCAGGCCTTCCAAGAATGTGATGGGGGAGCGGTCTACCACTCAGGCTCTGGGGGTTTGTTTCCCATGTACCACCTAGAGGATAGTGGCTGGCAATGGGGAGGGTATAACTTCACAGAATGAGGATGGTGTCTGTGTGGCCTCACTGTCTATGTACTCTTCTTCCAGAGCCTTTCTGGGGGTGGGGGTGGGGTGGGAGTTAGGAATGACCCTGACTTACTTTTGGCTCTTAAAACAGTGATACAATTCTTTAAAATATATTCAACCCCTATTCCTCCCCCTAACTTATTTCCATCCTCATATCACCCCCACACAACTTTTTATTCTTTAAAAAAAGAAAATAACCACCATCTTAGGGTTACCATTGCTGCAATGAAACACCATGACCAAAAAAAAAAAACCAAGTTGGGGAGTCAAGGGTTTATTTGCTTACGTTTCCACATCATAGTTCATCACCGAAGGAAGTCAGGGAAAGAACCTGAGACCGGGAATTAATACAGAGACCCTGAAGGGGTGCTGCTTACTGGCTTGCTCCTTGTGGCTTGTTCAGCCTGCTTCCTTATAGAACCTAGGACCAGCAGCCCAAGGGTGACACCATCCACAATGGGCTGAGCCTTACCCTCTCCATCACTCTGTCACTAATTAGGAAAATGCCTTGCAGGCCTGCCGAGAGCCCTTCCTCCTCTGCCCCTCTCTCTTTCAAGACAGGGTTTCTCTGTGTGACAGTCCTGGCTGTCCTGGAACTCACTCTGTAGACCAGGCTGGCTCAAATGCACAGAAATCTGCCTGCCTCTGCCTCCTGAGTGTTGGGATTAGAGGCGTGTGCCCCCACCCCCCGGCTCTACAGCCGGTTCTTCTGGAGACATTTCTTCAGTTGAGGCTCCCTCCTCTCAGATGACTGTAGCTTGTGTTAAGTTGACACAAAACCAGCCAGCACACACACACACACACGCACCATGGCAAATTTGTGCTGCCCGTATATATACTCAGGGGTGTGTAGACATCCACTGGAACGTGGTCAGCCTACCAGGAAGCATACTCTTAAAAGAAAATGGACTTCCCCTACTCCAAAAGCTATCAACTGTCTAGAGCCTCAGCCCCGGGGTGCAGGCTCATGAGCCCCGTCCCCCCTCGGTGCTGGAATTTGACCAGCTTGTTCTCACAGTTGCTGTGAGTTGATGAGTGCTATGATCCTTTCATGTCCAGAAGACAGTGTTCTGCTCCAGTGCACCCCCCCCACCTCCTCCTCTCAGTCTCTCTGTTCTGTCTTCAGTGTGGGTAGCTATAAGATTTGTGAGTCTTCTAGAGTTTCCCCGTTTAATCAATGACCCAGTTATCCCAGACTTGCTTGATTTCTCAAATGAAAGCCTAGGGCAGGATTTGTGTCCTAACTTCTAATCCTGACCTCTCTAATCCTTCTTGGTTCCTTGTCCCCTCCTCCCCTAGACCGGAAGGATCCCCTTGGCGAGCCCTGCCCTCTCTCTTCTGTGACCCCTCCCTTCTTAGTGTTGGCTCACAGTGATGCTAGGACAGATCTGTCAGGGACATAGGTAGACATCTTGCTTAGTCACTGCATAGTTTAGAAGCCATCTTTCCAATGAAAGAGACCGAAATGTCCTGGGACCCCCAGAGTCCAGCTCACTGGAGGCCAGGGACATTGGGCTAGTTAATTGGCCATCACCCTGTGCATTGTCGGAGGTTTTGAGACTTCCTGGCCACTTTGACAGTTGTCACAGCTCATTGCCCTGGGTTGTGCAAGGTTCAACCTTCATTGGAAATGGCTGCCCTTTCTCTTACTTATCATTAGCATATTGATAACCAGTTTTGCTTCGCTCATCCTGTGAGAACTTCTCTCCTATAAGCTTTTTTTCTGGTGGGGAGGAGCGTCGGGTAGAGGCAGGTAGGTGGTTCTTCTGCAGCATCCTTCCTCCTGTTTAGAGGTGACTCCTGGGCAGCCACCATCTCCCTCCTGCTGCTACTCTTTCTCTCGTGTCTGAGAAAGCTGGGTTCAGCTGGCCAGCACCCTCCCAGTAGCCATCTGACTTCCACTGAAAGAGTACTTCTGATTTGTCCTGTGGCCCTTGCTTTATTGGGGCTTAAAAAGAGAACCCCCCCCCCCCAGATTTGACTCTTTCTCACAAGCTCCCCACTCTCCTCCTCAGCCTTTAATTGTTAGGGTGAGTTTCCTCTGCACTGCTTGCTTCACGCTCGCTCTCTGGGCTTTCGGGATGGAGCGGGCCTGGATCTGGTCCAGAAGGTGGCTCAAACTCAGTCCCTAAGAGAGCACAGTCCATTCCCCTTCACCGTGAAGGGATGAGATGCCTGGTCCAAAGCCTCCCCGGCTAGTCAGTCACAGACAAGGGTGAAGGCTTCTCTTTCTTCTGCAGCCTCCCCTGGGTAGAAGCCATCTTTCCTTGGTGCTCTGTGCTGAAGTGATCCCTGAGAACGCATGGACGGGTCACTTCAGATCCCCTGTAGCTGTCTGGGGACCATAAGCAGATGGGAAGTCTGATGTGCCTCTTCACTTCCTCGGAGGACAGTTCTCCAGCCACGGGCTTTGAGTCAAATTTCTATTTCCCACCCATCCCAGCAGCAACGTCCTGCTCACACACCAGCCAAAATAGAACCTTTGGGGTTCAAATTCCTCAAAGGACTTCTCAATCCAGGTCCTCATTAGGCTTCAATACCATGGTGGCACTAGCCACTATTTTTATACAACCCTAAATTCTTGAAGTCACATGATGGTCAGTTTTACAAACCAGGTACCTGTAATTTGTATAATTTTGTATATGCTCTGGTGTACCACACCTGTCCTAAGGAAGGGTAGAATAACTCTGTGTTGGTGTCCTCACCTGTGACATTAGGAGGATGCTTGAGTTGCTGACTTCTATGTTGATGTTTCTGTGGCTAAGCCCTGCACGTGTCTTTTCTGAAAAGCCTTAAATCTTGGTGACGTCACGTCGTAGGGTGTCGGTGTGACAGGCTGCCTGGGAACCGTGAGCCCTTTTGTAAGCTGGAAGCATTTCTCTTACTACTGTTACTTTTCATTTTCTTGAAGGGAGTTTTTAATTCACAGCTGCCAAAGCCTCCCAGTGAAGCAGTGCCTTAGTAATACCTTAGTAGCCGCCAGCCTTTTCTCACGCCTGGTCTCGGTGTCCATGTGCTAATTGGCCCAGTTTCCGAAGCAGGACAAGCCAAAAGCGTTCTCATTTTTGTTTCAAAAGCCCGTTTTTTAAATCCAGCTCTCTAGAAAGCTGATGACTTGGTTTCAAACAACCTAAATCAGAACCCAAGTCAGTTCTTTGACCATGCTCTCACATACGTATCCATACCAAAACTAACGGCTGCAACTCCGCAGTTTACTATGAAGAGTGAAATGTACTTTTCATTGATGCCTTTTCAATTCATGACCAAATACTTAGCTATTTGTGAATCTTCTGCACTCCAGCATGAAAGTGCCTTTGGCTCGAGATTCCATCTTAGAAAGTGCCACCATAATAACGACAATTTGTAGAGAGACCAAAAATATTTTGAGATCACCATAATGCCTTTGGTTAACCGGGATGAGTAACCAACCACAGGCCTCTATTCATGAGAGCACCGCGTGGTCCCTGCCTGCTGTGAGTCTGCCTGCCAGTGGGGACCCCACCACACACTCACCTATAGCACAGTGCGGCAGCGGGGAACCCCGCAAACTGTTGTGTCTGTGTGTGCCGACTCCCCCGACCCCCGGCATGTCCGTCAACTCGTCACCCAGCTCTGCATCCTTGGGAAGGAACTTGCGCACGAGCACCCGAATCCCGAATCCTGGCCAGTGGACAGACACCACGGCTTTGCCTTCTCCATGTGTCCACACCCAGTCTGTGGAGACTCTCGTCCACTGGGAGGACAGTGCGCACTTGCCTGCTTTACACAGTGATACCATTTGGTTGTTGGAAGCCTCGCATCGAGATGACAGTGCAGAACAAAAATAAAAATGGATTCATTAGGGTCATTGCAGTTGAAGTGTCTTTGGGCAGATTTGCTGGCTCCAGATGTCCGAATGTGCTGTGAGAGACTTCCAAAGAGCACAACATTTGCAGTTTTCAAGAATGTTCTAGTCCTCAGAGAGCCAACTCTGAAGTCTGTGTCAGCTTAGAGTAAAATCTTTGTGCATCTGGAAACCTCATACAGTAAGGAAAAGGACAGAGGAGGCAAAAAGAAGCCAGGAAAAAAATAGGGTCTTTTTTCTTTTCTTATTTTCTTTTTCCTTTTTTTAAAAATTCCTTTGCTGATATAAGTGTAAAAGTAATGACAGACGACTTTGAAAGTTAGCCTGGAAACTGTACCAAACCCACATCCCTTCTCCCTGCCCTCCCCGGTGTCTAAGAAATAGCCTCTCTGGGCTCTGAAATTGCAGACGTGACTTGCATCCACCCCAAGTTGTATAAAAGTCCTGTTTCGTTTTGTTTTTAAAGAAAAACACCTGTCAAATGGGAAGGCGAATTCCTTAGCACAGGTTAGAGCTGCTTGGTTGGTGTCTTGGACTCCTCCCTGGCAGGAACACACCACAACTTGGAAGAAATTAGTCAAGTGTGTTTTCTTGTGCCTCCTTCTAGCCATTGATGTCTTGTTTGGTGGTAGTTGCCTCTCCTAAACTCTCTGCTTACATCCTCAACAATGAAGGTTTTGTGTTTAAAATGGACTGATTGCAAAGGGCAGGCCTCACTGAAGTCAGGCACAATTGGCTGAGATGAGATATCTGTATTTACTGCTCCGTCCTAACTTGTTCCCTCTGTGAATCTGCATTGGGTTCCTGTGGCCCACACTACGTCATTTTAGGTAGAAGCAGCATTTGTGTGTGTCCCCACCCTTGTTCATGACCACAGGGTCAGCTCTCCCACTAGGCTCCAGCCCTGCTCAGCCTGAGCTTTGTCAGGTTTCACCATGGGCATCCTGTTTCCCCTCTTTCTTAGAAAGGTGGGCAGAATTGACACATCCATTATTTTGGAAAACCTGTCCATGAGTTTTATGTTTTTATTTTTCAAATTAATTGTTCTCTGTGATTAGTTTCACTGTGTAAAATAGATCTAAACTGCACTTCTTTAAAAACAAATGTATGTCTCCTGTTACCTCCTTGAAAGATCAACTTCTCTAGGCCTTTTTCAATGGGCTTATGACTTCAGACAAGGAAAAAAAAAACAGTAAAAACAAAAACAGTACGTGCCTGAAAAATGACAAAAAAAAACCACTTTTTTTTTTTTTGTAACAGTTAAAAAACCTGAAAAGCCTTTACTTCTTTGATACGCTCAAATTTGATGAAAACTGGTTTTTGCCTTGTGTGTTTGTTCACATTCTAAGCGACTTCATGGCTTCTCTGGTGTCTTGTGTAAAGTGTATAGGGTGGGCTTGTGGCGGAAGTGTTTCATCTGGTCAGTGGTTCCTTTGATATTGTACTGCTGCTGGGTCTGGGCAGGAACCCGAGCCTTTGGGTGACAGGGTTCCTCTCCGGGGAGACCGTGGAGAAGAGGGTAGAGGGGCTCGTCCACATGTTTTCTTAAACTGTTTGCAGAAACTTCCAGAAGGCATTTGGCTAAACCTCCCGGCAGTACAGTATTCTTGTATTTGTTAACGTTTGTGTTTAGGTACTGGTACCTTTCTGTTAAAAAATGTTGTAAGTGTTGGCTTTAAAGTGAATTTATCTTTAGTATGATAGTTATATGAAAATTATAGGGTTTGTGTGCAGAGAATTTTTTTATAAAGTGCTTTGTAAAAAAAAAATGTATTCTAGCTTTCGCGGTACATATGTGTGATAACTTTAATATCCATGACAGTTAAGTGCAATTATTTCATCACTCTAAAAATGCTATTTTTGTGTCAGTTCCTGCAGGTGTTTTCATGTCTTTGCAAAGTGACACATTTTGATGCCTTCTTGATAAAGTGGTAGACATTTTGTAGCTTTCTAGAAACTTTGTATCCATACGGTATCAATGAAAAAAATAAAGAAAATGAAAGTGTGGGTCACCTTTCTTGTCTGCAAAAGTCTGTTGAGAATGAAATCTGCCTTCTTTTGTCTTAAGTTACATTTACTTTGTTGGGATGGGAAGTCCACAACAGCCAATGGCATGCTCAATCCTCTCCACCATGTGAGTGTTGGTGATGGGCTCGGGTCATCAGGCTTGGCAGCCAGTGCCTCTACCCATGGGGCCATCTTGCCCTGTGTGAGGGTGGGGTTATACGAAGGATGGAGGGAAGTGGGTTGGAGCTGTGGTTGTGTCTCCTGTGCCTGATGACTGGAGCTTTAGGTGTTCCCTAAAGGGCTTCTCAGCCACATACTTAGTTTGAGGCCAGCCTGGGCTATATGAGAACCTATCTCCAAAATCAACAAAAGGTTTGTGGAATAGCTTAGCTGGTCTGTGGTTCCAGACACACCCTGAGAAGCCATACCCTATGACTCACAATAGCCTTACTCCTATGTTGTTAACCTGATGCGTGCATGCTGGGGACCAGGGGCAGGTAGAGCCGGGGGTCGGAAGTGCACAGAGAAATGCACTGTGAGCTCCCTGCTCGGTGCCTGTGTTCTTGGGGTTGGTTGCTTGCTGAGTCGTGAGCTCTGGCCCCAGCAGTACTGGTTCCTGTGTGACAGCAGGTCTCATTGTGCCCCTGTGTTGGTATAACCATTTTGTGATATATTCCACATTCCAGTTTCAATGGCATTGCTTCCTGAGACCCAGAAAGGCTACCTCGTCCAGAGTCATGACTAACAAGGATGGAGCCTTATTTAGGTTCATTCAGCCTGATGCTTGGGCCTGATCCCTTGGCCTGTGCATCTTGGTTGACTATACAACGGAGCAGCTCAAGGCCAGGAGGAAATGTGAGTGGGCGGAGGGATTTCACCAAACTATAATGACTGGGACTTTTGGCAGTAACAGTAGGAGCCCTCAGCTTGTGACTTAGGCTTCAGGGGTCTTGCTTCTCTTTATTTCTACCTAAAGCCTGGGCACTAGAATTGTATTACTTTGCCAAGGAGTGGGTATGCATTTCCCTGCTCATGTATTTTCATCGGTGCTGTGATCTAGTGCAGAGCCGAGGAGAGGCCCATGGGAGCTTTTTGTCTTGAGCGAGACCCCTCCCTATTTCCTTTAGTTCATACACTCTTGGAGAATAGGAGTCCTTGACAACTTTGCTACAATGTGATTCAGATCTAAGGAAGTCATAGGCCTTTCTTAGGTTCTTAACAGCTGGTAAGTCACAGCCACGTCTCTCTGGCCCCTCAGCTTAGCACTTGCATATATCAGAAGCATTCTGTTAGTGCTGGAGGTTCCAGTGGATTCTGCAAGGAGGGAGGCACCAGGAAAACAAACACCAGAGCCTAAAGGCATTCGGGGAGCATGAGGGAGGGTAAGTCAAAATCTGAGGGGACTGGCAACTTTGCTGGGAATTCCCCATGCTCTCTTCCTGCCACACTGCCTCAGGTACTAATGAACACAAGTATAGAAAGCCAAATTACCTCTTGTGTACTGAGTGACTGATGGAAACCCAATCAAAATTCATAGTGGGAAGTTGTAAAACTGCAGAGACATCTTGTTCTGTCTGTCCAGTGCCTGTTCATCAAATGTCTTGTCATAACAGCAAATAGGCCACTGACTACCTGGCTCTTCAGCAAATGTTTTCATTCACTTTTACCTCTAAGAACCCAAGACTTAACATTTGTGCTCTACACTATTGGTAAAGAACCAAATAAAAACTACAGATAACAATTGAAGCTGGCAGGATGGCTCAGTGGGTAAAAACACCAACTACCAAGCCTAACAACTGGAATTCATTCGGCCTCCAGGACCCACAGGTTGGAAGGAGAGAATGGACTCCCACTAGTTAGTAAATAATGTAATCTTAAAAGAATGAAAAACAGATGCCAGCAATCAAAACTTCAAAAGAAAACTAGTATCCCCTTATTAATCTCCAACTAGTATCAAGCAAGGTAAAAATTCTCACTAGAGCCAATGAGGATTACTTAACAATGGTACAAGTTTGGATTGATGTGGAATAAAATGCAAGACTAATGTGTGCCCATTAACATAGCTACAGAGTAAAAAGTGGATAAATTGATGACGTTGTATGTGGGGGGACCCGCCCCCACTTTTTCCCCAGGGTACTCTTGAGTAGGGAGAAGTGAGAAATATTTAGATAGAAATGTAGAGGGGAGAGAGACAGAGAAAAACACAGATACCCTTGGGAGGGCCTGGATCAATATCCACCAGCTCTTCTGTCTCTTCTAAAGAGCTATTTATAGAAATGCCAAAAGGTGGAGCAAAAGACTTAACCCCTAGCACAGCCAAGTGCAGACCCTTCCAAACACCTGGTAACCATGCATGTGGTCAGTCCATTCCCTTATGCAGCCCTGCTGGGTAAAGCAAGCTCAGATCTCACTAGGAAACCTCTGTGGGCTCCCACAGTTAATAAACATTCGGTTATAAAACACATATACAGCACAGTATTTGAATATCAGAATTTGATGAATATGTTCTAATTTACTAAGTGCAAAATGCTGAGCTGTACAATTGGAGGCTTTAAATTATTTTCAAGAATATACAGAATTTTTATGAATATTGGTCATACCCAAAGCCAGCAGTCAGGAAATCAGCCAATGCAGTGACTCAGTGTCCAAAGTCTTATTGGGACACAGCCATTCCTGTTTGTTAGCCTACTGCTGTGGCTACCTTCACACTGTGGTAGCAGAGGTGTCCGTGACAAAGACCCTGTAGTTCACAGAATCTAAAATAATTATTATCTGGCTTTTTGCAAGATGTGGGGGGATAAATTTGCCACCCTACTGTAAGCCATAAAACAAGGCCCTACATTCAGTAACCCTAAAGAGGTAGTTTATCTTTCTTTGGTGTGTAGATACACCAAATATGTAAATGGTTGTAACTCTACCCTCTCTCAAGCCAGCTCACTGATGAAGCTAGACAGCTGACCAGTGAGTCCCAGAGCTGCTCCTTTCCCCCACCTCCTCAGGGCTGGGATTACAGATTTTCCTAGCATGTCTACCTCATTTTATAATGTGAGTTCTTGAGGTCGAAGTCGGGTCCTTCTAACGAACTGAACAATCCTTCAAACCATAGGAATGGGGATTTTGATGGCTTGCAGTTGCTGAATCTGCTCTCCCAATCAGAACATTACTAAAGCAGTCACCAGTACCTTCACTGGCTGCCATTCTTTTACCCTTGGCTTCCTCTGTCTTCTTAGTGTCTTCCTAGATCTCGGGGGATGCACTCCTTGACTACCATTCATTGCTCCCTGTTGTTTATATTTTGCCTCTGACAGCTACGTGCTCCACACAGTTCCATGTCACTGACCTCTTATGACCAGTTTCTCAGCAGTATTGATCCCCATTCACTGTAGTTTTAATGCAAGATCTAGACCTTTGGGGCACATAGGAAGTGGGTACTCTGGTATCAAGTTATCAATCCATCCCAGGAGTATGGTCTCTGAACTTTCAGAGCCCTGCCTTGTTTACTCTAGACCATAGTTTCCTTCAAGCATCAAGGGGCTTCCCAGAAGCACATTAGTTTCCATTACAAGTACCATGTTTCCATTGGGATATTAAATCCTGAATTGCAGAAATGTGCCGGGTATACCAATGTGCTTTCTATAATCTAGCCCAGATTCAAGTTCTCAAGATTCACTCGATAAGTTCTCCAAGACTCAAGTCTCCCAGTTCCTGCTGGGAGGAATTCAGATTGGGCAGATCCTATAGCTCTTGCTGATCCCACCCTCCAAATGCAAGAACCTAACTTTCCTGATTAGACCATATTGAGGATTTATCCTTAATCTAGAAATGATGATGGGAACTTTGGCAGATCTTGGGGAGGTGTTCTAAATTTAAGTGTACACTTAGTAATTGTGCCTTATTGGACATGAGACAAAAATAGGAAAGTGCCCTAAATCAAACTCATACATTTTCCCCAGTCATGAATGAAACAAGCCAAGACAAAGAATTAGGCAGACACTTTGTATTAGTGAGCACATGTATGTGAATACAACATATCCCCAAAATTTCAAACATAAGGAAACAATTTGAAAACTGTATTCTTCCAAATTAAGTAAATTCTATGTCAAAGGATTGCTATAATAGTCTCTGACCTTAATACAATTGTAAATATCAATATAGAGAGGATTAAAAAAACTACACACACACACACACACACACACACACACACACACACACACACATATATATATATATATATATATATATATATATATATCACGATGAATAAGCAATTCTAACTCATAAGAAAAATTGGCCATGGAAATTAAATTAGCTTTAGGTTAAGTTGAGTGTGATGGCTCATGCCTATAATCCTAATACTCTGGAGGCTAAGGCAGGAGAGAGTGCTGTGGGTCAGAGGCCAACCTGGGCTACACTAATGTGAGACCCTACCAAAAATAAAGTTAAGAAAATGCTGTATATTAAAATATATAGAATGCCCCTAAATTAGTCTCTAGGAGGTGTTGTAGAATATTACTTTATGTAATGATGTGTTACATTTGTTTATGCTGCATTTGTTTAACGATATAAAAATGTGTTGCTTTACCTGCCTAAGGTACCTGATTGGTTTAATAAAAAGCTGAATGGCCAATAGCTAGACAGTAGAGGGATAGGTGGGTCTGGCAGGCAGAATAAGTAGGAGGAGGGATCTAGACTTGAGGGGAGAAAACAAGGGAGACAGAGAGGGAGACACCCAGGGCCAGCCAGCCAGGCAGCCGCCAGACAGACATGGGAGAAGCAGGAAAAATAGAATGTACAGAATGAAAGAAAGGTAAAAAGCCCCAAGGCAAAACGTAGATGAAGAGAAACAGGTTAAAATAAGCTATAAGAGCTAGTGGGACAAACATAAGATAAGGCTGAGTATCCATAATTAATATTAAGTATCCACATCATGATTTGCAGTTTGGTGGTCCGAGAAAGCATGCTACGAGGAAGTATGCACTCTTAACACTCCTAGAGCATGGTATAA